TTGGAATTTGGCTATATTTTTGTTGTCATACCAATCTGAATACAAATTATACCACCTCCAATACTTTATTTATTGAGCTTTAGAGAAGGAGGGAGTTTACAAACAAGCAGCCTGCTAATTGTCCTCTGGTCTTGTCAAATCTTCATTTGAACAGATTGAGAAGCTAATCCTCAGCTAACCAGCTTAGCCAGCTAACCAGAGGTATTCTGCATCAAGATTTTAAGGAAATAAGTGCATAAAAATACAGAGATTATAAATTAGGGCAGACAAATCTGTATCTAGACTCATGCCTGCAAAGAGCATTCTATCAATATAGTGAAATGCTAATCTCCTAATTAACAACCTAATTAGGTAATTATGGCTTTGCAGAGGGATGCCTAAATGAAATATGACAACATGGTCACCTCTTTATATGGCACCTGTGGGCCTTTTCAGCTGTCACTGCAAAGAGTGCAATATCAATTTGAACAGATGACAAAGTGTTGTCATTTTTCATTCTGATATTGTACTGAATGGCTTGGATAGAAGCAGTTTAGAAAAGCTGCATCTTGCCTGGTTTTTGCCTAATCTAAATATGTGCAAACACTTTGCTTAATTTTTAATGATGATTATGCTTCTTTTTTTTCGTATGGGCTAGCAAGCATTAACACATGTTACATGTACCACGTCACATCATCACATTGACAAGACCCTACATACTGAAATTACTACTGCCCAATCTCACGTTAGAGGTGTTAATCAGAAATTACTGCCCAGAAAAATAAGAGTACTTGACTTTGTTTTTCACAGGTAGAAGCTGATTTTAAAACAACAAAGTAAAATGGAGGATGTTTTAAATAACATGTTGCAATTTTCTATTTCATCTTTATTGTTGAACACTTTAACTTAAAGAAAGGCAGTCATCGCTACCAGTAACCTGGTGAAACCGCCTCTACTTTGGGGGTTTCCTAACAAACGAATTAACGCCTTTTTCCTTGGACAGAAAGCTGAAAACTTACAACAACAGCACAATAACTTGACCTGGAACTATGATTTTTCATTCGCATGCCCAAGATGCTCTGAAGACAATTTACTAAACTTCAGTATTACCTAAGCTGAACCTGAAAGAATGAAACACTTATTTGTGAAGATAAGGATAAAAGCATATAGGCTCAAAATCCTCAAATGTTAGACTARACCTTATGTTTTGTCTCATCTCATTGTAGTATTTAGGAGCCTAAAAACAACTAAGTAAACAAAATTTACAAACACCTCATGTTCCCTGCACAAACTTCAATCCAACCAAAACAGAAAGCTTTGATGTGAAATCTTTCTTTTCTTTTTTCCGTTGCTGGTGCATTTACTGAATGAGACAGGAGGAGACTTTTTAAGGCCACCCTCACAGTTCTTCCAGTTACCTACTCACAGTTCCATTACACTGAGATGCACCTGGTTCATCCAGCTGAAACCCGTTAGTTACCCAGCCACACAACAGAAACCTGTATTTGTTGAGCCCTTCATTAGCCTAATCTCCCAACTTCAGTACTTTGAGGCAACCATAGGACCAAGTTTTTAACTGAAAAATCCTATCGTCACTCCAATTACCCAGCACAGATTAGAATAACATTCTAAATTCCTGTCTTACAACAGTGCTATTGGGAAAAAAAGCATGTCACCAACAGCATGCTTTTCTTTTCCAGGTAACTTATTTTTGTAGCTTGTTCTGAATGGGTATAGGTAAGTAGTTTTCAAACATACACTAATCCTTTCTACCTGTGCTTGCTTCCCAGGTAAAACTCTTCACAGTGGTACCACGTTTCAGTCCTCTGTGGCCTTAGATGAGAGAGAATCACCTTTACAAGCACCTGATATGAAGAGTTCATTTTGCCTGCACCAAAAGCTTACTGATAAATGAGATTTCTGCTCTGAACATAGGACCTTGTCATGAATAAAGCCTACTGCAATGCACGCACTTAGCGGTACAGGGGTATAAAAGGAACACAGAAAAAGAGATAATTATGAGAATTTAACTCCAATTATTTTAAAGAATCCTTTTGTTTCCAACAGAGTCTTTTCTTTGTCTTTTCCAAYGGAGTCTCTCCTTTCAAATAATAATTTACGGCAACTTCACTCTATATACCTAGTTTCGCTTACCAATACTATTAACTATCCAATTGTTGCCCTTTCTTCCAAGGGCGCACTAAATACCACTAAGACAGTTTGTTGTGTTTTCAGAGTTACTGATTTAGAGACMGCACCTCTGGAGCAATAAGGAATCAAGGTAGTGATTTGGCTTATGCTCCTGTAATAAAAGAAATGCAACTCATAGACAAYGAACAAGCAATACCATGGCTTAATAAATCTCCCCAACAGACACACGCACAAATAACATGACACAAGACGCTGGGAACGCTCTCAGAGGCACCTTTTCAGAGAAGGCTCCTCCGCTGGCCAGGTTTCGGGCAGAGAGGCCCTGCTGCTGGCCCGGCCCAGGGCACCCCACGGGCGGCGACACCCGTGGCGCAGCGGGAGAGGCGCGGGCGCCTCGCGGGGCCGGGGCCGGGGCAGGCCCGGGCTGCAGGCCGCGCTGCCGAGCCGGCACGGAGCGCASGAGCCTCCCGCCGTGTCCCGGCCGGGGCTGTGGCGGCGCCCGCGCGGAGCTCCGAGCTCGGCTGAGCCACAGGACAACCTCCGCGCAGGGC